CAGCAGGAAAAAGGAACTTGTGGGGTCCATGGGGACTTCATTGCCAGGAGACCGATGGGGACACAACTCCAGGAAAAGGCTGTGACACAGACCTTACCCCACCTCTACGACCTCTTAAGTGGCACTAAAGAGTCTTTTAGGCATCTAAGGCTGTTTACAGATATAAAAAACCCCTGAAAACAGCATTTTACTTTCAGCTCGACACCCCCCTGTGTCAAGCCCACTGCATGCCCAGAAGAGGCATCGCATTAGTTTGACCCGGTACACCCAGCGTCTGTACAGAGATAAAAGTACCAAAAAGGCCCACTGAAGCATGTGAGCTATACAGCTGCTGGGGAGTCAGGTCAAACATGTTTCCTCTTCTGGTAAAGTGCTGTTTTGTTTTCTTTTCTTTCACATCTGCCAGCAGCCTAAGTCTCTAAGTGCAATCCTATTCTACTCTGCTCACGTCCCTTGAGACACAAGTCAGGGAAGGGGCCGTCAGTCTGACATAGGGAACTGGGAGGCCTGGGGTATTTCCCCTCCCAGGGGAGACCAGTTCTGCTCTTGCTCACAACTGCACAGGGTTGTTACACTGTGCAGAAGACAAGGGTCAGCAGAGAAGATGGGATGGTAACAAAGGGAGGTGAGGAGGGAGTGAAGATAGGTATGGGGTGTGAGAGAATGGGCACAATGTGGGAAGGATGGGCCTGGCTGAGGGTTGGCATGGGAGGTGGGTGGTTCTGAGAGGTCTGATGCTGAGGGGGGTGGGCCGCGGTGTTAAGACTGAGGAAGATCCTTGATAAGGGGACAGCTGTGTGTGTGTGCGTGTATACATGCAAGGATAGCGGTTGGGATACAGAACTGGATTGACAGAGGGTCAGCCAGCATGGAAGAAGAAGAGTTGGCATTTCAGTGCTGCATGACTCACTATGGGCCGCACCCAGAAACATGATCCTTGCCTTCAGGCAACATTTCACCTGGATGGGGATCTTTCTAAGGCACTGCATGTTGGCAGCTTCACTCACATCTGTGATTTGGTGTGAAAGGGGAAGGGCCTGCTCCAGGGTGGTGCTTCAGGGCCTGGCATAGAGGCAGTGTGGACATGCCTGTAGGCACCAGTAGAGAGAACTACTTTTAGGCACCCTCTTTTGCAAACCTTGTTTGTTTGGAGAAGGCTGGGATTTTAAAGAAAAACATGGCAGGTTTTGGAGTCTGAGTGGCTTTGAAATTTGAGGGGCTGGCGGGTGATCCAGCTCCCTTCATCTCCTTACATTTCTCTGTAGCAGATAAGAAGGTGCTGGCACCTGTGGGCCACTGATGTGCAGAGAGGTTCATCTGCTCACCCAGGGTCATGCTGACAGAGCCAGGGTCAGAACCCAGTCTGCCTGCCTATGACCCCCAAGCCCCTGCCCCTGCCCCTATCAGTGTGTAAGGCCTCCCTGTCTAATTGTCAGATGCCTGATGTTTGCAAAGTGCTTTGAGGTTGTGGCCTGGAAGATGCTGTGGCAGTATAAGTTGTTAACCACAGTCACATTTGTGCCCTGAAAGCACATCCTGCCTTGCTGCCCTGCATTACCTCCCTAGGGCTACACCTCTGGAACCCTAGAGCAGTGTCATCCAAAAGGGGCTCACAGCAGCCCTGAGGTAGATGAAGCTCCTTGTAGCGTGACAAGGGAGCATAGTCCCCCTCTCCATGCTGCAATCTCCTTCCTGCCATGAGGTTCGGTCTTATGCCATCTGTTGGATTCTTGCCCCAAACTGACTTCATTAGGAGGACACTCTGGAAACTCAAAGGCAGCTGAGCTTCCAAGCCAGGGCTCCAACCTAGGAACAACTATCAGCAAGGGCTGTCCTGTGAGGGGCTTGGCACACGGTACATGGCACAACTGGGCTTCCAGCAGCAGAACAGCCCTAGTTGCAGGCTCTGTGTGGGAGTCTCTGGGGGAGGTTCCCCGCCACCCTGTGTGATGGAGGACATCGGCTGGACAACCAGTGCAGCCCCCTCCGGCTTTCAATTCAAGGCATGTGAGAGAAGGAGGCTGCCACACCAAACCTGCTAGCCTGTAGCTTGCTCTGCACCAGCCCCAGCTTGGAGTGAAGGGGGCCAGCCAGGGCACTGTCCCCACGGCATCTGCAGCCATTGGAAGGGCAGGTGGTTCTGCAGGGTCACAGATCTGGCATCATGAGGCTCCGCCCCTTGGGGAATGCAGCTCTGGGATCCCCAGGATCTTCCTTAGTTCATCTGAGGGCACACCCTGTATGTCACTACTTTGCAGTACCCTTCAAGGAACCAGAAAGGTACTTGGGATGGTTGGGGGCTGGGAAAGGTCACTCAAAGTGACCAGGGGTTGGGGCCAGGGCAAGTCACATGATGCCTGGACTTCTCCTGAAAGACTAGCACTTTGGATGTGCCCTGAAAAAGGGAACAGAAGAGAAATCTTCCCATGGGCAAGTGGAAGCAAGAAAGAAGAGGACAGACTTCTGTTGGGGGAAGGGAAGAACAAAGGACCTCCACATCAGAAGGTGTGGAGGGGAGATTGTCACCAGGTACAAACAAGAGGTTACAGACACCTCTGTGTCTCGGGGGAGGGTAGGCACACCTGCATGCCACAGGGCACAGTGCTTGGTGGTGGGCCGGGGGAATGGCTATGCTGGGCAGGAAGCGGGGTGGTGCACCCAGCAAACTCTCGCAGCAAGAGTCTGGATGGCACTGCAGGCTCCTGTCCCCTGGGAAGGCCAGTTATAGCAAAAGGAAACTGCCTCAGGAAAGCCTTAGTCTTAGGGCATGTTTTATCAGGACTCTAGCTTGCAACCTAATGCCCACAAAGCCAAGGGGACAGACTATACAGAGCTCATGCGGGCAGGGTTCAGAGAGTGGTGTGAAAACCCTCTAACAAAGCCACATACACTGGCCATTGATTTAATTCTGTTATCCTAGGCTTTTTGAGGACAAGGAGGCAGCACTGGATCTCATGGAGGAGCAGCAGGGGACCCCCTTTTCCTTTCCAATGGCATGAAGCCTGGTGCTCTCCTAGCATGGACCCAACCCTACTAGAGCTGCGCTCACAGTTCACATTCTTGCCAGCCCACATCATATGGACTAGCTCCCCTCACCCCTGCAATTGTAGCTCACGGCCAGGCAAATGACAGCAATTATTTGCACAGGGAAGCAAGAGTGGGCAGATATATTGCTCTCTATATATGTATAGAGAAGAACTCGCTTGGCTTCAGCCTCCTGGTGGAGGGTGGGGTGGGGAGCTTGCGGCCATTGGTACAAGCTCCTTACATAAAGGGTCTGATCCCACGCCTGAAGATCAAGCAGTTTTTGTCCACTTAAGGTTCTGGGACAGTGAGTCCTCACATCTGCCTTCGTGCGGCTGATGCAAGCTCGTTAGTGCAGCCTCCCACAACCCCCTGGAGGTTAATACATGCGTTTGCATTAAAATGCTGAGGAGCAGAGTTTGATGGTAAACAAGATGAAACAACAACAACAACAACAACAACAAAGTTAATGGTTTGGGGAAGTAATGGAACTAAGTGGCGGTGGCTCCTCCAAGGGGAGGAACAATGGGGCTGTTCTGCTCCTTCCCTTTCTGTGGGTATGCTTTTTTTCCCCCCCACCAATTAAGGCTGGAATAAGCAAATGATGCTGTGCAAACACAGAAGTCTATAATCCTCTGGAGGTCTAATGAGCTTCATGTATAAATCAGGAAGCAGGCAAATGGAGCCCGCTATGAAAATCTTTCAGGCCGAGGCTGGGAGGCAGACACTCCACGCTGCTGATTGAGATGGAGAAGGGGGTCGGATATGAGCCACTAGGAAGTGGAGGGGAATTAACAGCAAGTAAATGAATGTGGAGGATGGTGGCCACCGCCATCGCTTGAGATTGTCACGGTGGACTGCAGCTCTCGCCCCAGAATATCAAAATGGTTTGCACTGGGTTGATTAAAGCTAACCATCCGTGTCCTCCAGGAGGGAGGACATACCTCCCCTCTGTGGGCTAGAGCCTTCAATGGCTGGAAATCAGCACAGTTCCTCACCTAGCTGGGCACCCCCAGGGGACCTGAGCACAGTCCACCTGCGGAGCTCCTCTTCCCAGCACCACAATGGCATCAGGAAGTGTCATCTCACTTGGCAAAGTGGGAACTGAGGTGCCAGGGAGATTACATGACTCACCCACAGCTGCTCAAGAAGACAAAGTCTGAGCCAGAATCAGAACCCAGCTGTCCTGAACCCCATTCTGGTGCCCTGGGTACTAGACTGCCCTTCCCAGCCATGGCTGGAGTCAAAGGAACTGTGGCTGATTTACTCCAGCATGGGAAATCCAGACTCAGGGTCTGAATGGAGCTACACCGATTTACTTCAGCTAGCAAGGAGCTGTCTTAGGTCACAATCCCATCCCTGGTGACTCCTATAAGGCAATCCTGATTTCCATCAGCTGGGGATCTAGCCACAGGTGCTCCCATGGCAGGACAAAATGTGGTCCCTGTCTGGTACTGTGCATGGGCTGAGACATAGCATGCAGAGCATGAGGGCTTGGGAGAATATTGGTGTGGACAAGGAAGGGAGGGAGGGAGGAAGGGAGGAAGGCTTCCTCAGAAGATAAGCCACATCATCATATGCAGAGATAGGGTGACAGCAACAGCCTTGGATTAGTCCTTAGGCACTGGGGATTTCAAAACTGTCCTCAATAGAAGCCGTGTTTTAGACAAATGACAGATCACCCACGCTGCCTGGAGGGTCTTGGCACTAAGCGGCTGGGTACTGAGACTAAGCAGACCACTGCCTGCTCTGTGATGAAATGCAGGCAAGTGGCCCCCTCAAGGGAGGGGGGTGCCAGTTTCATGGGATGGAATGAGAACCTGTTTGCCACACTGCAGGGGGAAGAAAGTGCCTCCCCAGGGAGCTGACAGACTTTCCCTCCCACCTGAGACAGTATTGTGCACTGTCTGCCTGCTGCTGAGGGGGATATGGCAAGATATCGCTGACAGATCCTATCTGGGATTTTGCAGCAGCCCTTTAGCAAGTGAGGGTGCTTCTGAAGTGGGAGCCTGGTCTAAATCTTCTGGGGAGTGCAGAACTTAGAAACAGGGTGTTATAGCACTGCCTATGGGGCTGCTGAGAGCAGGCTCCACAGGCCGGTTCTCTTGGCTCAGGAAGTGGATGAGCCTGACTGGTTCCTAGCGGTAGGACAGTGGGATCTGAAGAACTATCCTGGAGCAGGCCCATGGGAAGGTTCTCTTGGATGCTCATGGCAAAGCCACGACATGACACAGAAGTGGTGGAGTTTGGTCAGTGATGCAGAGCAAATGCTTCCCCCAGATACAAAGAGAGGGAGCAGAGGGGGATGAGCGACCCCAACCCCTTCTGGGAGGGAGATGAGGCTCTCCACCTCCTCCGCCGCTGTCTCACTGGGCCATGCCGGGACGTAGCTACTTCAGCCGCTGGCAAGTGCCAGAGCAAGGAGTCTAAGCAGTGAGAGCTGCCCATGCCAGAGGAAAATCTGGCACCTGGCATGACACCAGGGCCTCAGCCCTGAGTCTGTGGGGGCAAGTGGAACAAAGGAGCAAGGGAGCAAGAGGAAAGGAGAACAGAGCGAGAACTTACAGGAAGGACTTCATGTCCAAGCCTCGGTTGCGAATCTGCCCCACTACATGGTCCCAGCTCCCTGGGTTTGAGCGGCTCCGGCCCCCAGCCGTGCGGTGCTTGAAGCCAGCCGAGGTGCCCTGGCGCGACTGGCCGCTCCGGTAGCCCCGGGCGTTGCCGGCGCTGGAAGAGGAGCTGGTGTGGGACTGGAGGTGGCCCAGGCTCTGGCTGGTAGTGGGCTGGTTGTGGTTGGCTTTCTGGTGCTGGCTGAGAGGCTGCTGGAGGCTCTGCTGGCGCATCAGGGTGCGGGGGCGCTGGCATTTTGGGTCTCCTGCTGAGGTGGGGATATACTCAAGGGTAGTGGCTGTGGACATGGTGGAGTCCTCAAAACTTAGGGAGGGGAAGGGCAGAGGAGAGGAGAGAAAGGAAAAGAAGGTGAAGGGGCAAAATTGGAAGAAGGAAAAGAAGAGAGTTAGAGAGAAGATGCCCCAGCGCAGGGAGCTGTCCGGCAGTTGCCTTCGGAAGCAGCAAGTGGTCCCTCTGGGTCTTGACCCCGTCTCCGCCTCTCTGGGGGTGCGAAGCCCTCGCTCCATGGCCATCTTGCCCATCTGCCCTCCCCTGCTCCTCAGAGCTGGGTGTGAAAGTGCCTGCCGGTTGGTCCCTGCTCCGCTTCCCCGTGACTCAGAGAGACGGCACCTTCTCAGCATGCCGGCCGACCTCGTTTCTGAGCTAATTAGGCTGCTGTGGAAAGGCGAATCCCTCAGTGTCCATGCCGTTTCCTATCGCATAGGAAACGCCCACCTGCCCCGCCTCCCTCCCCCATGGGCTATGGGTAGGGCAGCCGAGACCTCCCAGGAACGGGCTCGGCAAGGTGATTCAAGCCAAGCTTGCAGCTGGAGCATCACAGATACAGTCCTGGCCCCAGGCCCCTGGCCCTTCCACACCTCCCCTCCCCCAGGCTCAGAGCTCATGCAGCAGTGTGACATGGATGCCCTTTTGGTATACTGAGAATATGGTGTGACTCGTGGCAGCCACATCACATGCTAGACTAAGTGTGAAGGAGGGACCTGCCAGTAAGCTCTTTTGCGATTGGCGGGCAGCCCTTTCACCAGTCATGTGCTGGGCATGGTGCTCCACAGATCTGGGAGCTACATCAGATGTGGTACTGAGCAAGCTATGAGATGAAAGCCCATGGATTCTTCACTCAGCCACCCCAAACAAAGGGAGGAAATACTTGTATCTTGGATAAACGGCATTTTTTAGCTTATGGGATATCTGTGCATGTAGGGGCCCAACCTCTTACTCACAAAAATGCAAAGCCCCACTCCTTAGCTGCAGCCAATCAGGCAGCAAGGCCCCTCCACTGACTCCAGAGGGTCCAAGGTCAGAACTGCAGCCATCTGAGCTTATGGCTAGGAATATGGCAGAGCTCCAGATCAGGATCTCCTTTGGGCATGAGAGACAAGCACATGGACAGTGGAGCACAGGGGCTGGTGCAAGACACTGTAGATTGTTAGACGTGTTAATGTGCAGTCAGAGTACACAGCTGAATGACACATGACAGTGTCCTTGCTGAGATATGGGGTTGTACAACTTGCCAAACAGGCAGCCAGGCACTTGACAGGGCACCTGGCAAAACACAACCAGATACATGACAGGACACGTGGCTAACCAACCATGCAGGCCAATACATGACCAGGCATGTGTCTTCTGAGCTTGCGAGCTGATACATGACAGAACACCCAGCAAAATATACAGTCAGTGGCATGAAAGAGTATACAGCAAAACATGCATCAGAGTACATGGCTAAACAGGCAGGCAGACATGTGACAAGGCACATAGCTTAACATGCAGCCAGACCAAGCTGAGCATGCAAGGCAGAGTACAGATGACTACATGATGGCACACAGGATTAAAACTCCAACTGGGCATGCTACAGGCACCTGGACAGACACTGGAGGGAGCGCCTGGCTGTACATGTGGTAGGGCACATGCCTGGGCATTTGCTAGAGCACGCAGCTGAGCACGCATCTGTCGCATCTGGGTACGCCTCTGGAGCACATGGCTGGACACACATCCAGAGCACATGGCGGGGTACCCAGTTGGACACTCATGCAGACTGGCAGGCTGGTAAACAAGGTAGCATTCATTGCTGAGCTATCTCTGGGGCAGCCAAGGGATTCATAGTCCACCCCACATGTTATCTCAGACCAAAATTCCTATCCTTAACTGACTCCCATGGGCACAAAGGAAGCAGAATGGCCCTAGCACCAGGACAGCATATCTTAGTGCCCATCCCAGCTAACCTCTACGGCACATGCAACTCAGGCACTGGTGGAACCGCTTTCACCATAGCAGCAGTAGCAAAACCTCCTATAATCTCCATTTGGGCATGGGCTGTGTTTATGACTGAAATTTAATGGTGAAGCTGTGCCTTTGTGGAGTGCAAAGAGAACAGAAAGAGAAAGAGAGAGAGAAAAAAAGAAAAAGAAAGGGGGAGAAAAAGAGAGAGAGAGAGAGAAAGAGAGAGAAGTAAGTGAATTCCATCAGCAAGGAGCCCCCTGGGGCCCTGGCACCTTGGAGACATGTGTTATCATGCCAGCATTGTCTCTGGCTCTGAACATATTTGTGGGTCTCTTGGCCAATGACTGGATATGTGACTCAGAAGGGGCAGCATCACCTGGATAGCAGGTCCCACAAGTCCGACCCATGGGCTGCCCGGTGTGAGGCAGAGATGGCCTTTCCCAGCTGCTGCTTCCTTCCCGGAGCTTGGCGACCTCATTTCAGTTTTCTATCAAATCCTAAATTAGTCCAATTTACAACCGCTCAGTCATAGGAAACTAAAATTGGCTTCTCCAGGCCCCGTGCCAGAAGAATATATGCATTTTTATCAGTGGTAATTGTGGGATAGGAGCCAGTCCTGAAGTAGAAAGGCTGATCCTGGCACCCACCACACCTGTACCTTGGCATTTGCTGGTACCTGCATGCATTGTCAGGTACTGCCATGTCTACTCAGCAGGGAGCACAAGGGCTACCTCGGCCAGCCAGCCAGTGCAGGGAAGGCCATATCAGAGCCAGGCATGTCAGCTACAGGAATGGCCATGTCACTTCCAGACAAAGTGAACTTTATTAAGGTACAGCAGATCGATTCTGTCTGCTGCTAACCTTATTGAAACAGTGACAGAATATCTAAAAAAACCAGCAACACTTGAAAACCAGTAGAATCAAAGGTGAAATTTATGAAAATACAAAGGCTGGAGATACTAGAAATTCAGAGTTAAGTTCCTACAAACACCCTTAACTGCACCATTCCTCACTCTACAACTCATGATCCACATGATATAGACTGGTGCCCAGGCCAGGTGTTATGAGTTATATTGAGAGGTTTGTCAACTCCTCTCTCTCGATGAAATACAGGGTAGAAAGACATCCAGTTTCAAATCAGTGAAATTGTTGTCTATCTGTCTGTCATGATTAAAGTATAAATCCAGTTTCAGGTTAAAGACTGTAAGATTCTATTTATCGCCCTTCACCTCTTTTGGTTCCCGGTCTAGATGCATCTCTCCCTTGACTCTAGTTACTTCACCGTACAACAGAACATAGATGGATTTGTGTCACGCTGGGTCATCAAAGAATCATGCTGTATTGTGGAAGATGGCCAGCTAGTCCAAAAAGTACAACTGCATGAAGGAGGTAGGGGAGGGAGGAAAGGGCTTCAGTCTTTCGGTTATGATGCCATTTTGACTGGTGAACACTTTCATGCCCAGCTCCTTGTACAGCCATGTCTACTTTTTGTATATTTTTCCCTTTTATTTTTAACATTTTTATAATAAAGTTCTGTTAGTCTCTCTATCTGGGCCAGGTCAAGACAGCAACCTTGAAGAGCCACAGGGGCTGGCTCTCACATTGCCCTTCACCTCTTCCAGTTCCTGATATGGGCACGTGTCTCTTTTGAGCTTGAACACTTCACTCTACAACACAACGTGACCCAGTTTGTGATGCACTGGGCCATTAAGGGGGAACTCTGTGCAGTGGAAGATGACTGGCTAGGCCTAAAAGTTTGACTGCATGAAGGGTGGTGAGGAGGGGGAGGGGGTTTCAATCTCTGTTATAGTAGCTTTTAGTGACAAATGCTTTAGTGACCAGCTCCTGGTGGGACTCTCTACACTTATAACTTTTGTTTTTAACATTTTTATAATAAATATTAAAAAGTTTTTAAAAAGTCAGTCTGTCCATCCTCCCTCCCTTCTTCTCCCATAAGCATAGTAGGTGAGCATCTAAATAAGGCCTCTGCAGAACAGGTAAAGGTGACCAAGCCCCTTCTTAGCTCCAGTAGGCATTTGTGGGTCTGTATCTGGCAGGCAGAAAGCAAGCGCTGCACGTGAGTCAGTGCAGGAAGTTAACGCAAAGGAAGGACTGTACCTGGATGTTATTCCAATACAGTGAAAAAACAGGTTCTATATCATAAGGCAAAAAATGGATTTCTGCAAAAGAAGCCCATAAGTGATAAAAGAAAGAGAAGCTGTCCAAGACAGTTGTAAGATTGTTCAGGGGCACTGGGAAGCAACATATCTATGGCAGGTATTGGAACCTCTGAATCTTCACACCTTTGAATTCTTTTCTCTATACACATGAACCTTAACTTACAATTTTCTAGCTTTAAAGTGATTTTTTTATAACCATAAGGTTTTAATTCTTTTTTTAGAAGTATTTCATATTCTGCCTTGGGAACATCCTTCCTTTTTTCCTGAATGTACTTTAGCACAATGCACTAAAAAATTCACTGTAGATCGATAAATTTTCTTCTGAGAGACTATTTTGCTATATTTCTAGACAGGGTGCGGAATAATACGTGTTACACAATAAATTACAAAACAACACCATGTTTGATTTAAATACTGCGCTATCAAAGTCTATATTCTCTTTCTCCAAGTTAGTTTAGCCAACAGAGATTAGAAATTTGAGACCAGGCCCTCAGCTGGCATATATAACCATATGGCTCCCTCTAACAGAGTTCAGTTTACATCAACTGCAGACCTCATTTGAAATCTTTAACCAAACCGTTTTAGGTTACAAGAGTTCTCAAGAAGCTGAAAAAGCTTTACATTCCCTAAATCTGATGGACTTCAAGATTTCCCCTAGCCCCTCTCTGGCATCAGAGAAAAGGGTTGGGGAGAGAGGGTGAAATTTCAGGTCCCAAAGGTTTGCCTAATTTTAAATGCAGGATCCAGATCAGAACACAGACTGGAGCCCAGGGGGCCATAACAGCCCTTAGCTACCTCTGGCAATTTCTAGTATTCTTCAATTTCTCTGACAATTTTCTCTCTTGAGCACTCAGTTTTGCTCCTGCACAAACAAGAGCAGCTTCTCAAGAATCCCCATGGGGGCATTCCCCCAGCAGAGCCGGGTCCAAGCACTAGTCAGCATGGAAGAGCCAGAGAAGCATGCCCAAGTCTGAGGGATTTGCACCCTGGCAACCTCTTCCCTTCCTCACCCATCACAAATATTGCTCCCCTGCCTTGTACCCACTGCCTTCCTGGAATGAAGCCCTGATTCCAAGGGATGGAGTGGTTGTCAGGCAAACTCAGTCCAGACTCCTAGCAGTACAGGTGGCAGGCCACATCCCTGGGGTTAAATTCTCCCAGGGTACATCAGAGGAGCAGCCCAGAGGCATGCTGGCAAGAATAGCTGGGGGAACTAGACACCTGGCATCAGGGAGACTGGGGGGGGGGGGGGGGGGGGCGGGGCGGGGGGGCTAGTGACCCCGGGGTGAGGGGGGAGGGGGGGGGGGGGGGGGCGCGGTGGCCACCAGGTGTTTGGAGAATGTGACTGAGTTACTTAATCTGTCCCCCACAAGCCCTCCTGCTTCCCTTCATTTCTCAGTTTCCATGGACACCATCATCATATTGCCACCCTCCCAGTCTCTGCTGGTGGCCTGAGCATCGTTTTCAACTATGCTTTCACACCCAGGCTGCATGGAAACCTCACCTGCACCTTCTCCAGTCTTTTTCTGTCCACCCAGGCAGCCTGCCTCTCCAAGCCCACATCCTCTCATGTCTTGCCTTCAGAAGCCACTGCATCTGGGCCACGGATAAATGCAGCCTAGCCCTGCTTGCTATCTGCTTAGGAGGCAGTTGCAAAGATCATACCCTCTCCCTTGCCATCTGTCTGCTCCCTTTGCTAGATACAAGTGACCCCCTGTCGCCTCCGAGGCTTTTCTTGGTCTATCCACACCCTGCCTATTGCTTCTCACACATTAGCCAGACATTGGCTCCCATCAATCTTCCCTCTGCCACTCATGTTAAGCATTCAAACAAGCCCCTTCATGCTCCTTCCTCTGATGGGCCTCACACAAGCTCCCTTTCACTGTCTGCAAACATCATCCTCCTTCAGTTCCTTCCTTGCAAAACTCGACCAAGACAACTGATGGACTGAGTCCTGTATCCACCTGTTGTCTCCAGGTGGACAGCTATAAACTGTAAGCCCCTAAGAGCAGAGACTTCCTCTCTGTCCTTTTGGCAGTGTCTAGCCCAGTGCAGCCCCAAGGCATTAAGGCAACACAGATAACAATCATTATGGGTGGATAGGTTGAGAATGACCTCATCTTGGACTGGGGCAAAATCCCTGCTGGGTGGGCATGTGTCTCATGCTACCTCCTCCATTCCAGGCTCTCCTGCTCAATCTGACCGGGGCATTAACCCCTTCATGCAGCAAAATGTTTGCTCCCATCCACACTTTCCTGGCCTCCCCCCACCCCAGCTTGACCCCATTGTGGGGGAAAGGACATCCCCTCAGGCAGCCAGGCATTGAGGCCATCCTGGTAGGGCAGCGCGGGGCAATCAGGGCCGTTCTCACTCACTTGGATAGGCTGAGCTTCCCTGCTGCTAGGTGGCTCTGCACCGTGTGCCATCGGCCTTTCCCCGCCTTCCCATTGCTGGGGTCGCTGTGGGCAGACAGGCTGCTCTTCATGCCGTCCTCTCGGAGCTGCTGCTTCTCCCCCAGGCGTCCTTCTCGCTCCCCCGCCAACCCCGCCGTGGCAGAGGCAGCCAACTTAGCGCCGGACAGCAGGGAGCCACTGGGGCGGGCCGGCGGGCCATACCCCCCAGGACAGACACGAAGGGGGTGGCAGGGCGTGGCGGGGAGGAGGCCACATGGGGAGAGGGGGAGAAAGAGAGAGAGAGAGAAAGAGGGAGAGAGAAGGAGAGAGACGGACAGACAAGAGACAGACAGACAGACAGACAGAGAGAGAGAGAGAGACATCAGCACTGCAAAAGAAGGGGCTGAGGGCGAACCTTTGGCACAGGGAGTGGAGAGAGAGAGAAAAAACAACAGGCGGCCCCAGCTCGGTTGTGAGTTTATGATGGCGGCAAAATTACATTATCCCATAGACAACGAGGGGTTAAACAATGGAGAAAACTGTTAGGAGAGGCACTGCACAGGCAGAGGGAGAGAAAAGCCATGTTAGTGAGAGCTTACCAGCACCATCATCACCACTACACAGTGCAAATGCAGAGTACACGCTGAGAGGGTGACCAAAACGCGCAACCCCATCCTATGCTGCAGAGGAGTGGGGGCACTGGGTGGGGCAGGGAGAGCCGAGGGGACCTGGCACGGAGGGCAGCGCTAGCCTCACGGAGGATGTCGCTGATGCAATGGTTCCCAACCCATTTGGGCAGCCGTTCTGGTCTCACTGGTGAAGGGCCCAGGCTCAAGCTCACCCGTGTCAATGGAGCTCTCCATTGGCAGTGGTGAGGACTGGGTGATGAAACCCAGAAGCTCAGGCCGAACCCCCCCAGTCATGAGGCAGCAGGGCATGAGGCCAGGGTTCCTGGTCATGAGTCCAGTTCTGGTGCCATCAAACCCATTGGTAACATTACCTTAGACTTCACCAGTACCAGGACCCAGGTCTAGTTGCGGGGGAGAGGTGGTGAGCCTGGTGAACCAGCCTGGTGTGACAGCTCCAGTGCGTGCATACCAGTGGTTGGGAAGCACTGAGGAAGGGGTGAGGAAGGAAGGGGAAAGGGCAGGAGGGGTTGCTCGTCTCCATGGTCATCTGCCCATGGGGGTGGAGTGTGTGGGGAGAGGAGGTAGAGTGAAGAGGAGAAGGTGGAGGAGGGGAGCGGGGAGAGGAAGGTGGTTGCGCATATACTCACTACACATGATCAAACCAGGTAAAGAGAAACTCACTTGAGGGAAAGCCGTGGATCACCGTATGGGGCGTAAGGTGAAATGTTTAGTATAAACTCCTTGGGAGGGTAGGAACTCCATTTCTGCTGCACTGTGTTGTCATTGTTATTCCAAAAGTCTCTGTCTAGATCACTAGATCGGCGGGAGAAGAGGGGAGAAAGAAAAGGGAAATACAAGAGAGAGAATCTGAATTCCTGCGAGGGGAGGAAGGAGAAGAAAATAAAAAAATCACCGCCCCCAAGAAAACCAGACAGCCAGGTGTGGGCGGGGGCGAATGGAGACGGATGCCGATTCCACCTGTGGGAGAGAAGCCATGGCTGTAGTGGCGTCCATCCACCACACGCACACCCCCACGCACACATTGAGGAAGGATGGACAGGGGGGACAGTGAGAGGAAGAGCTGCAGAAAGACAGAAGCAGGTGCCTTGAAAAGCTGGTAGGAGAGAGAGAGATGGAGCATGGGTTAAAGGAAGTGCTGCTGGGTGCCACAGCCTGTTACATCCTTCCTTGTTTTCAGCCCTGCTCTTGGGGAACGGCTTCCAGGCTAACCTGGCTCCTGTGCTGGCCACCTCCTCAAGCACCTCACTGCCATGGATAGTAGAATTACTGCTGACTCCATGCCATCAAAAATGAAAAGCTGACCCCATATTCATGAGACCGGCTTAGAAAGGCAAGGTTTTTGGAAAATGCAAAATTTGAGAGCATCAGACCTCTAGCACTTGTACTTTCAAGCTGCTGTCAGCAACCATAAGGGCTAGGGACTAACTTGGGCTTTAAAAGGAAGCTGAAAGTCACACAAAATCACATGACTCCAGGAGCTGGGGCCACTGAAAAAACACTATATCATCTTGCGACTCACACTAAAATCACAAGAGCTGGTGACTGCACTAGACATATTCTCTTAGATCTGAGATGGTGGCAGAGTCCTTGACTTCTTCCAGCAGCTGCCATGGCAAATGTAACCCTAACAACTAGAGGGAGCTGGCCTAATGGGATTCAACACCCAGACCACAAAGGGTGGGAGGAAATGGGATTGGCAGGCTGAAAAGACTCTAAGATACCTGCCAATGTTGAGAGCTAAGGGCAGGTTCTGATCCACAGGGATGTCCCTCAGTGGTCTCCATGAAGCAGTCGGCAGGAGTTTACTTAGCCTGGCTCAGCCACCACTGTGAGATGTTCTCTGAAATATGGCACCCCACCAGGAACGGGCAGAGAAGGGAATTTGTGTACCTATGGGCACAAGCTAAGAGAAACACAGGACTGAAATTTGCCACTTACCAGTAAAAAATCACCTGCAAGGGAGAGTGGATGGTTTCAGGGGACGGTTCTGAGTCTCTGCCTTTCACCCTGAGAGTCCCATCACTGGGACTCATTTCAACACAGCAGGA